TATTCTCAGAGAACTGACAACTCTGTTGACATTAGCTGAATCCACTGTGCAGTCCCTACACTGTTGCATCACTCAAAAAACCCGTCCCACAGCATTTCCCTGTGTTTTAGCCTGTCCTGTTGGGTGTTAATGGCCAGGTCATAGAGGCTGCCCTGGGCCCCAAGGGTCTGTACGTTCCCCCAGAGTACTCACAGCCACTGCTGAGGGTGTTGCCCCAGCCGGAGATCAGGCAGGTGGTGCCGGTGGCCACGCAGCTGGTAGGCAGAGGAATGGTTTGGACAGCTTTGTTGAGCGTGGCTGGGGTGGCCAGCTTGATGAGCATGATGTCGTTGTCCAGGGTGTAGGGGCTGTAGCCAGAGTGGCGGATGACTTTAGCAGAGTTGATCAGCTGCTGCGTGGATTCGGTGGCCTCCAGGTTGTGTTTCCCGAGCTGCACTTGGATGCGACTGGAAAACAGAAGGCACAGCGTGTCCTTTACTGCTACAGCAGGCTGAGAGAAACCCCCTGTCACTGAGTGCACTTGCTCCAACATCATTGCCACAGAAGCCTTCTGGGGCAGGGGATCTTTCTTGTCCTGCAGGGAGCCCTGGGGATCCACACTGAGATCTTAACCCACTCCAAGCATGGGTGGTGAATTTCTGCAGGTTTGTAAATACATAACAGCAGCTGAATACAGAGCAGCACTAGATACAAATCTTCTGGGACAAAGCAAACAGCTCCAGACTGACCTCGATCCTCTTCCTGCTCTCCAGGGAGATTTCCTTAGCAAGATTCATGCAATTGATAAGAAATCACAGCCCAGAATTCTCTGCCTTGATTATCCCATTGTTATTTCAGAAAATGCTCTGCCTTCACAGGAACATTTGCAGAATGGAAAACCCGTCAGGAAGCCTCGGTCTGGCTTCCTGAATGGTGCACCCATCCCTTGGCTGTCTCCGGTAAGTATGGAGGCACTTACATATTTCTGTCTCATAGCTTAGAATTCCTGCTAGAGGTGAACTGGGAGACAGCAGTAGGTTAGAGAAGGATGTAATTTTTCCACTCACTATTTGTAGCAGTGAGCAGCTGACACGACCCACTGGCTGCTGATGAGGGAACCTCCACAGAAGTGATATCCAGAATTCAGGGACACTTGATAGGGCACAGAGTTCTTTCCACAGGTGTAGCCTCCCACAATCTTGTCATCGTCATCTTCAGCAAAGGTGGGGAAGGCAACTGGGGGACAAGAAGTGCCATGTGTCAACAGCTGGCCTAAGGTAATGTGGCCTGTAATCTGCCCTGTGACTGCCTGTCTGAAGCCCCTCACTTGTAGACTCCCCTTCTATGGACACTCAGGGCAGCGCTGGTGGGCATCTCTAAGGCACAGGCATTTGGTGCACCCTCAAAGAAGGGGATCAGACTTACACTGGTGCCTCACGTATCTGCAAGTAAAGCCCTGCTGGCTGCTCCCTGAGGGGACACAGGGTCACAGAAACATTCTTGTTGGATCGGATCGCAGGTGTGTCTTTCCCTGGATCCCTTCTACTGAAACAGTCAAGGGTTGACTGAGGGAAAAAGTAAAAACAAGTGTGCAGTGATATTTTCTTGGAGCACCCACTGGGAGTCCAAAATTTTGCAGTTGCTTTAGAACTTCCTGGGCCAGAACTATTCCCTGTGCACTCCACAGTCCTGAAGAAGGAGGCAGCCTTTTCCTGAAGCTGTGGCCACATCTGCATAGCTAAGTCAGGAGCCCCTATGAAGCATTCATTCCCCAGCTTGTGGCACAGGGCATTATGAACAGACAGGAGATGGAAGGTGCAGGAGTCTGACTTATGCAAGTTAAAAGTGGACTTGGCTTTCCCACAGTAGACTGCCTTGCAGTTTTGCTCCAAAAAACAGCTTCCTATTAAATGAAAGAAATAAAAATTAAAAATATACTCACCAGCCACCCCAATAAAGGCGAGAAGTAGCAGGCACTTCATGGTCTTGATTCAACCTCAAACCCAGACTGGTTGACTTGACTTGGGAGCTGCTAGAAATATGTTCTTGGTGTTGGTCTTATCTCTAGTCCAAGGTTTTCTCCAGGAAAAAAAGTACACAGTGGAAAATTTGAAGATCCAAATGTGGGCATTAAGAGGTATTGGTAGAATGTACAAATAACACACCAGTTAATCATAAACCTCTGCTAAGATAGAGAGCTATTTTAATTATTCTGTAAGGTAGCCTTCAATCTAAAAATACCTTTTGGCTTTGGATGATGTGTAGTTGTTTGTCTGTCTCATTCTTATACACAGCACCTGTATAACAGGAATAACAACTCTCAAACCTCTTTCAGACTCCTCTGTCCTGATCGTATCTTTCTTAAAATTTCACATTTTTACCCAAAGTTGAATATTTTAGGTAGTGGACAGACAGTTACATTGCATTTATTTGGGAAAAAAACCCGAAAATCCACCAAACCCAGTGGTTAACTTTGTTCAGTTTATTTGGGCAAATTTCTTGTCTTGAATAATATGTGGTTTTATCTTATGCAACACAGTGTTTTCCTAAATAAAATTCCTCCACTTTCATTTCAAAAGGGAGGCTAGAAAAACGATCCTGTGCCCCCTACTGCTTCCCAAGTTAAATAGTTCAAATGTGGGAATGCTCAGCATCTCCCTTTTCAAATTTCTCTCTGCTAACCTGTATTTAAATGTCTGCCTAAATACCAAACCATTCTTTTATTCATATTTGGAATATTCTACAGACTGACTTTTGCCACACAAGAATTTCAGTACAATGCTGATGCTTATGAATGCAATGTAGATGAGCAATAATCCTGTGAACACAAATAGTGAGATCTTCTGAAATCCCTCTCTGCAGGAGTGGGGAATTCTGTCACAATGCAAAGTTTACTAAAGCTTAATGCTTTGCTGAATAATTGTGTTCATTCTCCAAGCAGCTGCCAACTTTGTTGTGTTAGCTCCTGAAAGACACAGGATTCTCTCCAGAGACATTAAAGAGAAGCCATATGCTTTGAGATGCTGGAATAGCTTGAGAGACTAAATAGGAACACTCTTCATCTCCATTTCTTGGTTAATTTTTTTATGGACCCTGGAGGACTGATATGCACTGTGTCACTGTCCAGAGGGAAATTTTCCTTCATGTTGAAGCATAAGTCCAAGGCCAGGGACTTCTCCAAGGTGGTGCATGAATTCTGTTGGCCTTTAAACTGGTATTAATTCACAGTTTTCTTACAAGCATGTTGTATCCTGTGAAAGAAAGGATTAGAAGCTTCGTGTAGGAAAGGAAAATGTCCATAATGGGACAAAGAGGGTCAAAAATTACCAAAGCTGTCCAATCCCATCACAATTAAGTGGAGCAAGAAAAATTCCCAGTTTACTATAGTGTTTCCTTTGATCTGTGGATTTCTATCTTCTTTGTCCAAAATATGCCATTGGCATAGAACCAGAGCCATGTTTTAGAACAATTTTTTTCCTAATCCTTAGCTTTTATGTCCTGTGAGGTAGTGCATCATACTGGGCTGACTGATAATCCTTAAGAAGAACATTGTTGTGGCTACCCAGAGCCCGGGCTAGCTCTTAGAACTCTGGTGCCACACCAGGAGTGGGAAACTGCCTTGGTATGGGGATTTGCAAGAGGCAGAACCTTTAGAGCCACTTGCTCTATGGGGCCAGACAGAAGCCATGACAGGGACCAGGCAGAAGGGAATGGAGGAGGCTCTCCATCTTGAGGTTCCACAAGGAATGGTTTACTCCACCTAAAGAGATCAGAAACAAAGAGCCTTGGGCACTCCTGTGCAAGGGGTTTTATACAGATACAAATCAGGGGGTGGCTACAAACAGGTATCTGACAGGGAATCCTCAGGGGAGGAGTGAGGGGATTACATCAAGTGTATGGGGCCAGTTGGGGTAGGAGGGTGGAGAGGATGGGTCACATGGGCCAATGGGGCTTCCAGGAGTATGGGAATTCCAAAAGGCTGTTGCAGTCAGGGATTGGCCCGAGGTTAAAGTGGCAGAGACGGTTCGGGAACAAAAGGGGCTGGGTTGCCTTGACAGGCAGGGAAAGAGCTGGAATGAGGGGCAGGGAATAGCATGAGGGACAGATTTGAGGGAGGGTAAAACCCAGGGGTGAACCAGCTTGGGGAGAACATGGGGGTACAACAGAATTAACTACTTAATGAGGAATCAATAAAATTAATTCGAACTGCAAAAAACCATGATCTCTGAGTTTCCCTAAGCTACTTGCTTAAATCAGCAAGAGGAGACTCCTGACCTCTTCTTAGGCTACTGCTAAAGCTCACAGCCAAAGATCTGGATCATAGCTCCTGTGGCTCTTGTGTTCCCAAGTCTTTGATGGCAGGTATCTAGTGAACATGCCTCATCCAAGCCCTTCTCATTCTCCTAAGAGCCTCTCTGACACCTCTTCTGGAGTCTCCCATAAAGCCCAGAACTCCATGGTGTTCTGCTCATGGGGAAAACTGATGTCAAATGAAGGTTAATGGTTTTCTGATGTATGATTCAAAGGTCATCCAGCAAGCAGACTCAGAGCAGCCCTTCAGGCCTTTCCATGAGAACTGTGGAGGATGAACAGACCCCTTTGAATTACAATTGAAATTTGAACACCCTCTAATGACCCTCCTTTCTTTCTTTCTTTAGGAGAAGAAATCCCTGTCTGAAACATAAATAACTCCTTCTCAGTGGTGCTGAACACCCCACAGACCTATTGAAAGGCTTTTTATAATATCCTTCAAAGAATATACTCAAGGGTGTACATCCATTGCTGTAAGCAAGTTTCTCATTTCATGCAGTAATGCTGCAGTCGAAAGCTGGTGGCTCCTGGGGGCACAGAAAGGGGGAGGACTGGTGACTGAAGGGTAGCTGTGTTAGATATTATCAATGGACAAGCAATGGCAGCTTGTTTTTCTGGAACTCCATGTTCCTAGTTCAAGTATTTTGGTCAGCTGTATTATCACAGGACTCAGATAAAGGAAATATATTTGTCCAGGTTTATGCAAGATCCTGGGAAAGAGAAACCTGTTAAAACCATGGGCTGACAGAGGTAAAGCTTCCCATGAGCATAAAACATGAAGTTTCTGAACTTAGCTATTTTGCATCTCAGTCATGGGTTTGATCACTGTTTGAGCCATTCACTTATAAGCTGGACTTGTGATCCTTGTGGGTCCCTTCCACCTCAGAATATTCTGTGATTCTCAGATCTCACAGAGCTTTGTGGTGGAGGAGCAATTGCTCCTCTATTCCCAATTGTCTTTTGCCAGTGAAGTGTTCCTGGACAGGCACACCTAGGACTTGGAACATCAATGCCTCAGTTGCTGGGGATCAGGAGAGTGTTTGGTGAAGGGTTGTGAATCTTCTAGACTTTGCATCTGAAATCCATATTCAGTGACAGACTGCTGGCTTAAGATGTTCCTCTGCAGGAGTCTTCAAAGGGGGGTGCAAGATCATGCACCGAGGTGTGAGGTGGAAGCATTAGAACTTTAGTGTTACACATATCTAATTATCAGCTACTAAATGTACATATACTGGGTGTATGTGTTTAAAAATACTTCCCTGATAGGGGTGTACAATTAAGAATTTTTGGAGAACACTATTCTAGTACTGTCAAAAAATATTTCACATGGGGTTTCTTATATTTTGCTATAACATCCAGTGTCCAACAATGTCCAATTCTGCAGAGCCTTCATGTCCTCTCTGATTTCTTCATTACCTTGCAGCCATTCTGATTTTTGTTAGATTTTGGAGGGTTGAAGAAGGAAAGTTATGACTTCTTTCAGAGTGCCTGAGCTCAGGAACTGGGAAGGGATTCTGGATGACTATGGCCAGAGGCACTGAGGAAATAAAAAAGTAAGAAAATAGCATGGTACTAGGAAGAAAGGTAGGAAAATCCTAATAACAGGGGTCCTACATCAAGCCAGATGTAGCTATAAAGCCTCAGCCTTTGAGGTAGGAAACAGACTCTGCCCCAGTCATCTTCAGCAAATGGCTGGACCAGAAAGGAAGGGCCTTGAAAGGACATAGTAGAGGGGGACATCAGATTTGAAAGTATTTATTTAATCCGTCTCATCCAGCACATGATCTGCAAGAGAGCAGAAGAGGAGAAGAACCTTCCCTGGAGGGTCTGTGTACCCCAAGCCTATACAAACTGGGCAATTTTAACATCTCTAAACCTAGAAGCTGACTATTTGCTATAAAAATATGGGATGGAGGGTTTGGGAAACAAAAGGGAAGACAAAGAAAGACTGGGAAAAGTGTAAACATAGTGATGTGGAAAGTCAGATGGTCTGAAAAACTTGGGAAGAAGTTTAGAGGTGGTAGCCAGCAAGGCTGGCACAGTGAAATAGAATGGATGAGGTAAAGGAACTTTCATCAAATAAGCAGACAAGATGTTTCCATTAGAGATAGACTTTGACTGCATGTTTGGGGGTGAGTGCTGTAAAGGAGCAACATGGGTCTGACTGGGCAAGGTATGACACGTCTGAGGAGGAAGGATTCCTCTAAGAATTGTCTGCAAAGAATTGGCCCTGGAGGACCTTCCTGTACTAGTGTAGACTACTAAAAGGACTGGCCTGAAATGCCTTAAACCCCCTAAAACTACAGAGCCATCTGATGCTCACCATTGCCACTGACATGGATGCAGTTCTAGTCTGGACTTTATGCACTAAGCCTACTAAGATGTAGGTCAGATAATGGGTTGTATCAGTATCTTCCTTGCTTTGCAACAGGCATTTTTCTCTATCATTTGGAACAGGGAAGGCCACCTTTTCCTGATGCTCTGTTAAATGACATTAGTTTCCAAATCCAGCACAAACCCCTGCTAAGCCAGTACTTATTGTTCCCAGTGTATGTTAAACACTCTTCAGTAAGAATATTTTCCTTATTCCCTTGGTTCTCCTCCATGTGGGCAGCGTACCTCAGCCCTTTCCTCATTGTCATAACTCTTCGATGGTCTCTTCTACCCTTAGGGAGGAGATCTCAGTTTTCCCCCAAGGCTCACTGTTAGGCTGGGCTGACACAGCTCCAGGCCCAGCTGGCAGTAAGAAAGTCTGCCCAGTATTTATACAGATAAATACCAAGCATACATACACGTATACACAGCTGAAGACAT